TACGAGTGGTGGCAGCTCGATGCGTGCGAAGATGGATGGTTGGATGGCTAGCTGGTGGAGATTAAGGGAATGACATGCAGAAAGGCGGCCTGAGCCGGACGCAGACGTATCGGGCGAGGCCTCGCGCAAGGAGGAGCATGGCAATGTGGTGTTGCCATTGTGGTGTCGTTGCTGCTGCTGCTGCTGAGAGAGGCACTAAGGGGAAAAGTCCATGCCATGTCGATAGGTCAATCAATATTGGCAGACTTGGCGAGGCGCATGCCGCTTCCACATGAAATTCTGTCCATCGCGGCCCAGAATGGCCGGGTCAGATGCCGTCCAATGCCGAGACTTCCTCTGCGCATTGGGCAAGGCGGTCTGATGCTATGGCTGTGGGTGGCATGCAGGCGGTATCCGAGAGGAGGCTTGGACAGACAAGGAAATACGAGACGACGATTTAGACTACCTTGCTGGGAGCAAAAGAAGGGCTTATCGAGATGTTGGGGTCCCTGATAGGGCAAGGCTCCAGGGGTCAGCCGTTCAAGTTCACCCCACGACCACGACGTGGAGGACGGGAGAGCGCCGAGGCGTTCGAACGAGGTTGCTGCGTTCAATCCAGAGGCGACATGCCAAGATACGCGGACATGCGAACGCATGGGGGAACGAGAGCCAAGGTGCGTTGTGGTGGCTTTTGGCGCCGCCTGTCCTGAATCTTTGGTCAGGGAACGGCCTCTGATCGCCTGATGGTCGACGCAATCCGTAGCTGAGGTGCGTCTAGTACCTGTCGGCACGGCACAGTGACGGCAGGGTTTGGGTACGGCGCATGATAATGTGTTGCTCAGCCGCTTACTACCACGCCGCTTGCGCGTTTTCTGTCGCTGCCCAGGCCGCCTGGGAGCGATGAGGTGGCCTAGGTGGTGATAGATGAAGCAGCTGGCGCCACAGCAATATGTGCAGCGCTGCTGACCGACTGTCGGTGGTGGTGAGGGTGTCCTGCGACTCGTCATGCTTCTCTACCTACGTAGTGGAGAATCTTGGTTTGAGATCGGGGGTTTGCTCAGTTGGGGGACCATGATGATCCCCCTGATGATCAGGAGTTTATGATGGGAGGATGGAGGAATGCCATGCCGGGCTGTACCGGTCGCCAGTGATTGATCCTTCAACGGCAGGAAGGAGGGGTCCAGAGGCGAATGGGCAAGATTGGTCGTTTCTAGATGTGATTTCCGGTTTCTGGAATGATCAGATCAGGGCCAGTACCACCTGCCTGCCCTACGGTAAGGGAGGAGGTACTGGGTAGGCAGTAGCGAGCGAACGACAGATACCTTTGCAGGGTCTGCGCTCATGGTCTGTGCAAAGAGCGCTCCAGTTACTCAAACGTGACGTTGGGCAGCCACGGGCCCCTCTGCTCTTGCCCGGGCGTCCTTGGCAGCACCCGCCGGCAGGTGCATTGGTTCTGTAGGCCCAGAACCCCCCCGTCTTCGTTCCATCGAACCACCAACCGCGAAAAAAGGGTATCTATCCTATCCTGTCTCAACGAAGCAAATACGGTCGCAACATGAATACCCCATGATGCCAAGTGAGAATCCCAGCCTCGCCTTAATTATCGAATGCACCATTTTATTTTGGATGGTTTTATTGTCTTCAACCCTGATGAGGTGAGCTCAACCGGCTCCTCCTGCCTAATCCGAACATACCACAACACCACGGCTACAGCGACTCGGATGCGACACACGTCGCGATGCCATCGGCTCCGGCAACTGTCAGCAGGCCTCACGATTCGGACCGCAGATCAGGTCATCCGTTTCTCCACCTGACCCATTCCCGTGCCCTTGGGGTCGCATTTTGCATGAAAACGTCACCCGTACATCCAAACCTCGGAGAGAAAGTAACGCTGACCGACAGACGGAGGGTGACATTGGACGCTTGAGCCCCCGTCTCGGCCACACTGGACGTACCAACCGTGGTTAACAACATGCCGCCCGGGCCAGGCTGCATTCTCCATATCACGCGCTATGCTGCACTTTACTCATGGAGGCTGCAGGCTGACAGATGGGATTATTGATGGGCCAGAGGCAGCATGTGCCTACCGGCCGGAAAAGCATCAACCCAGGCCTCAGTCTGGGCCTGGTGCTTCACCGCAATGGGCACGTCCCAATCAGGCTCTGACTGCCGATGAAATGCATTATGCAGATCCTCGCGACATTCAGCCTTTTCTCCTTGTGCGACGACCCTCAACGGCGCCCAACGTCCAACATTCTCGTCGGCCTTGATACCACCAAAGTACACCATCATGTCTTTTTTCCACGCCATACATCTCTACCTTTATCTTTGGCGCCAGTAAGCCACCACCAGCATAGCCAACTGGAAATGGCCATCCCCTGCCTACCCGCTCAGCCTAGCTAGCTCGTGGCTTGATAGTTCCTCGACGAAGGCGGGCCGCTTCGTCACCCCATTAGTTACGTTCGACGACGGTGTGACCGCTGGCCTAATCAGAGTAATGTACTCGCCCAATACCATGGCGCCACGGAGATCAGTGTGGGAGAGTCCTCGAATCTTGTTGCTCCATGCTCTCGCTGAGCACTTGTCAAGTTGCATATGCACCCGCCGCTAGCATCTCGTTTCCGTAAGACAAAACCTCGGGGACGAACCCCACCTCATTCAATGAGGTAGCCGGCGGTTTTCCAGAGCGGCCCATGCCTGTTTACCCCTCTGCGATAAACCAGTACTCTTGTGGGTTCACTTCTAATCTATAATCTGTAATCTATAGCTTTTTTCCGCCTGGCGCAACTATCGAATAGGCTGCCGGGGTGTACCCAGTCGTGGCTTTCCGGGAAAGCCTCAATGGGCTCAATGGACCCACGACGTGCGATGAAAGCAGCCTGATCACACGGCAGCGTCAGCTTATTGACCCGGGTGCAGATATCTTGTCCCCCACTGCGCCGTTGTAAATATCGCGACGACCCCTGTCAATCAAGCTCACGCATGGTCAGCCGCACTTGGTCGCCGCGTTGCCAACTGATCGACAACTCTGCCTGGACAGGGTCTGGAGGGGATCATCACATTTGGGGCTCTCGGATGCCTTACCGGGCGGCCAGCCCTCAGTAATCAAGGTCGCTTGAGCAACGGCACGAACACGTAGAACAAGGCCACGGAACACTAGCTCGGGCAATAGTTCCCCATCCCGCCTGGGTAAGATGATCTCCCGCCAAGGTGGGCTCTGGTTTGCCTCACAGGTTCAGACAAGGCCATCTGCTCGTGGCGCCAAGAACCACGCCAGACTAAGTCAGCCTCACCGCAGGTTGTTTCTGCGGATGCGATAAGAAGCAATCTAGCTTATAGGGAAGAGTTCGTGACATGATCTTCAGAGGCGTCGCTATGTCGCCACAAGTTTACGACTAGGCCTGACTAGGTGTTATTTTCACACGCTTGAAGGCTGCTATCACACCTCGCTTGCGTGAAGTCACGTCTTCACTTGATAAACCCAGCTGCGCATATGCCAATGTCTTAATGGCAGGGCTCCTGCTTTCGCATGATGGCACTGCAGGCTGTGTTTGCCCGCCCGAACCGGAGAGCTCCATGTACTGGTCTTGTCTGAGGGCGTTTCGTGGCTCGTATGCTCATGATCATACTGAACCCGCACCCAACAATCACTGATCTACGATGGGCCAATGTGTATGGCATGACTCCAGAGCAATCCATCGATGCCGCTACTTCAACACGTGCTGTTTCGACATGTATTAAGCTCCGGAGTAAGTTGTGAGAGAACTACCCCTTGGTTGAAGGGGACCAATAGCTTCACCCCCACACCCACCACCGACGAGAGAAGAAAGCGTGTTCAGCCAAAGAGATTCAGTGCCGCCCCTTTGGCACGCCGCACTTTGTCTCTGCAACACGAGGCGAGGATCAGCCTGCGGTCGTAGACGCATCCAAGTGCGAACTAGAGCAGTGGGAAGCCACAGCGAGCCTCTCGATTCGGACCCACAGTCATTGGAGGGAACGAAGAATGCTGTGTACCAACTCTGGCGTAGGGCTGCATCGCGCGTCTGCATGTCAAGTTGAATGCGTCGTCACCATTTTCGACGGCTGTTGGGACCCGTCCGACCGGCATAATAGATCGACCATACGACCGTGCTGCGGGAAGCATGGTGTTCGTGCCGGGTGGAACTCACAGAAGACTCCAGCACGTTGTCTCGAGCGAACATTCAAGATGGCTCCCGTGAAACGTGTTTTGCGATCCTCAGAGCCTCGGCCTCTTCGATGATTCCCAACCGCGACGCGATGCTCGACGTGTCATATCGGGCCTGGTCATAGCCGTCGTGAGAAAGCCTGACTGGGCTCCGGTGCATTGTATGTCGCCCGGATTTCCAGGACCGCACCTGGCGCCTGAAAGTGCCCTTGGGCGAGTCGAAATCCGGTCGGCTACGTGAGTCAACACTTTTGCCTACAGCATACTATGGGCGTTTCCGAATGCACTTTTGAATAGTAGCGAAATATCGCCTCGAATATCATGTGTACTGCAGCTTTTTTTACCCAAATGCGCACGACACGACGGCGCGCCCGGCATGACTCATAGTGATCATCATTTGTCAGCCACATTCAGGATGGCAAAACCAAGTGAGGCTGGCAGGCGGCAGGCGGCAGGCGACTAGCATCGCCACAGCCTGGTGGACCCACAATCCCGTCATATGGACGACGACCTTCTTGCCTCCGCGGCGGATTTCTTCTCTCCTACCTTCAACGAACAGCACGATTGAGTAGAGAGGAGGATCCAGGGAAGCGAGTTATTCGTTCACGAGACTTGGGGATTTTCCTTGTTCCTCTTATTCCTTTCTTTTCGCCCTCGAGGTCCCGAGCTTTTCGGTTCGACCAGAGCATTTTAAAAGTCGCTGTATTTCAAAAAGCGCACGCGCCACAAAAATCTACGCCTCACCTCGCAAACGTAGGCAGGCACATAGCCATTGCAGGCTTTTCACCCTCACACTGGACGGCAACACCCGCGACCAGGCTCACATCAACACATCATGCCGGCAGAGGCAAGCTCGGCTCCTGCGAGTGATGGCGCCCAGGGAGGTCGGGGACGCCCGAGGCAGCGGAGGAGAGGGCAGCGCGGCGGTCGAGGCGGACAGGGGCAGGGCCGTGGCGGCGCTGCTGAGCAGGGCGGACAGTCGGCGACTACTGCTCCTGTCGAGAGAACCAACGACTCTCCGACACCTGCAAACGATCCAGGCGATGCCGTTGCATCGTCATCGTCGCGAGGGCGGGGGAGGGCTAGGGGAAGGGGACGAGGTGGCGGCGGTGGAGGCTTGAGGGCTGGCAGGGGCGGTGCTGCCGTTCGCGGTGGAGGCTTCGTTGCGGGAACGCAGAGGACCTTTGGCGGCCACCTGACGTCAGAAATGGCGGATGGTGGAGGTCAGGTCAACGGGGACGCTGGGCTGAGTGCGGCGGCTGCTGAGTTTGTGCCCGGCCAGGCTATCGCTCCGAAGAGGTATGTCGCTGTGCCTCGTGGCGCATCGGGAAGCACAAGAGAGAGAATAAAAGAACGCGAAACTAACTATGGACCAGCAGACAACCGCCCAGGCAGAAAGCACCTCAATATCCGCTGGCTCCAAAATCAACGGCTGAGGATCTGCCCACTCGTATTCACCAGGACATCAGCAATGGCCAATATGAGTGTGTCATTTGCGCCAGCGAAGTCCTACGGTCCTCGAAGGTTTGGTCCTGTAACCTGTGCTGGACTGTCGTCCATCTTCCCTGCGTCAAGAAATGGCATAAGAGCCAGATCGAGAAGCCGAACCCCCAGGAACAAGAGCAGCCCGACCAGCCCAGGACATGGCGATGCCCTGGCTGCAACTCAAAGTTGACGGAACACCCCAGCTCATACCACTGCTGGTGTGGCAAAGACATTAACCCCCAGAATGTTGGCAGTCTGCCGCCTCACTCGTGCGGCCAAACCTGCACGAAGCCGCGAGCGACATGTCCTCATCTCTGCTTTTCAGACTGTCACGCCGGGCCGTGTCGTCCGTGCGATTTGATGGGACCGACACAGCCCTGTTTCTGCGGCAAGCAGGAGAGCACCAAGCGTTGCAGCGACACCGACTATGATAATGGCTGGAGCTGCAAGGAGATTTGCGGCGACCTGCTGCCATGCGGAGAGCACTTTTGTGAACAAGAGTGCCACTCTGGCCTATGTGGCAGCTGTACCGTGCCGATGATATCACGTTGCTATTGTGGTAAGGTCGAGAAGGAGATTCCTTGCGATCGTCGGGACGAGGTGCGGACTTCTTTCAATTATGGCCAAATTGACGCTGCGGAAACGGATGCTGTGAAATCTCAAGAGCCGTTCGATGGCTGTTTCGACTGCGGGGCTTCTTGTGGACGGAAGTACGACTGTGGTCATCACGAATGCCAGAAAACCTGCCACCCCCAGGATGAGGTCGAGGCTCATTGTCCACTTTCTCCCGATGTTGTCGAGAACTGCCCTTGCGGCAAAACGCCGCTGGAACAACTGCTCGAACAACCACGGCAGTCATGCCAGGATCCTGTTCCTCACTGTCAGGAGACATGCGGCAAAATCCTAGCGTGCGGACACGAGTGCGACAGGACGTGCCACGTTGGCCCTTGCCCACCTTGTTACCAGAGGATGGACATTTCCTGCAGATGCGGCCGCACATCCAGCCGGACGCTCTGCCACGGCGACGATATGGCTCTTCCCGTGTGCATGAGAGTGTGCCAAGCGCAGTTGAACTGCGGCCGTCACCAGTGCGGCGACCGCTGCTGTCCTGGCGAGAAGAAGGCGGTTGAGAGGCAGGCAGCAAAGCGGAAGAATAAGCTGCAGAGCCCGGATGAGATTGAGGCCGAGCATATCTGCATCCGCGTTTGTGGGAGGACCCTCAAGTGCGGTGCTCATCAGTGCCAGCAGATATGTCACCGAGGGCCGTGCGGGAGTTGTCTCGAGGCCGTCTTTGACGAAATCAGCTGCACTTGTGGCCGCACGGTGTTGCAGCCGCCTCAACCATGTGGAACTAGACCTCCAGAGTGTCGTTTCGACTGCACGAGGCGGCCGGTCTGTGGACATCCGCCGGTGTCGCACAACTGTCATCCCGATGACATCGCGTGCCCAAAGTGCCCATTCTTGGTTGAAAAGCCATGCGTCTGTGGTAAGCAGAGACTCAAGAACCAACCATGCTGGTTCGAAGAGGTCCGCTGTGGACTTCCCTGCAATGAGAAGCTTAAATGCGGGTAGGTTTCGGTCATTGAGGTGCTCAGCAGGATGACGCTGACACGGTAGCAGAACGCATACGTGCAAAAAGCAGTGCCATCGACCCGGTCAATGTGAGGATGCAGACATAACTGGCTCTCACTGTAATCAGCCTTGTGGCAAATCGAGAAAGTCGTGCGGGCACGCAGACCAAGATAACTGCCATGCCCCATACCGTAAGCAACACCGTCATTCCCGGGGACTTTGATGCTAACAATCACCAGCCTGCAAAGAGGATAAGGCGTGTCAGGCTAAGGAGTTTATCACTTGTGCTTGCCAACACCGCAAGAAGGAAATCAAATGTCTCGCCACCCGCATCAACCCGGAGCCTGAACGCGAGACCCTCAAGTGCGACGACGAGTGCCTTCGTCTCCAGCGCAACCAGAAACTTGCAGCCGCCCTTAGCATCGATCCTGCAACGCACACCGACGACCATGTTCCCTACTCCGATACCACGCTGAAGCTATTCCGCGAAAGCGTGCGTTGGTGTCAGACCCAAGAGCGCGAGTTCCGCGTCTTCGCTTCGGATGCCGATGAAAAGCGCATACGCTTCAAGCCCATGCCGCCTTCGCAGCGAGCCTTCCTCCACGCCCTTGCCGAGGACTTTGGCCTGGACACGGAGAGCCAGGACCCCGAGCCGCACCGTCACGTCAGCGTCTTCAAGACGCCGCGTTTCGTGTCGGCGCCCTCCAAGACCCTCGCTCAGTGCGTCAAGATCAAGAATGTGCAAGCTGCGGCGGCCAAGGCCGGAGCATCCGCGTCCGAGGCGCCCAAGCAGGCGCCGTTCAACGCGCTGCTGCTCTCGACCCCGCGGTTCGCGCTGACCATTGAAGAGCTGGATGCTGCTCTTGCAGGAGATTTTGCGGCGCATAACAATCTGTCTTTTACGACGAGCTTTCTGCCGTCAGATGAGGTCCTCGTCCGCGCGACGCCCGTCTCGAGCTGGGGCTCCAGCACTGCGAACGTCGAGACCTCGCTCGCGAACCTCAAACCCGCAATCGCACGCACAGTTGCTAAGGCCGGCCTCGCCGGTGCCGTGACGCTCGTGCATGCAGACCAGGACCAGAATGTCTTGCGGAGAGAGGTCACGGGGGAGACGAAGGATGCTGGCGGCTGGAGCTCCGTCGTGGGGCGGAGGCCGCAGGCTGCGGCGCCGGCGCCTGTCGAGAAGAAGCCTGCCAGTGGGTTCGTGAGCTTCTCGAGGCTGCCGAGGAAGAAGATTGTGCAAGAGACGGAGGAAGACTGGGAGGCTGCTGCGGAGAAAATGGATGATTAGGCTCTGGCCGTTCTCATTTTTCAGTCGCCGTGAGACTACAGCTTCGTTCAAGATATAAACTAATGGCAATTCTTTCTTAAAATCATAAATCTTGGCGTCTGCGCCTATCACATGCACAAAACATCCGAGGGCCGATAAGATGCCATCAACCAGGGAGATACCTTCGGTCTGTTGGCATTACCTCTAAAATGGCTAAAAGAATTCGTTAAGGACGTCTGTCCAGTGTCTCGTGATCTTCTATTTGTGGTCGTGAGCCCAGACTGCGACGGTCGATATAGCTTGTACATAGGTAGTGAGTTGTGATTCGGACGAAGATGCAGTAAACTCTTCATTCACGAAGGCCTTTTTCCCTACTAGACTAAAATTTTCCACTTACCCTGAAGGCATCATGAGCCGAGGCGAGCCAGACACAAGACCCTCCCCCCCCCCTCACGACATCAGCTACCGTCTCTGCGGTCCACGCCCACGACGAAGAAGCCTTTCCTTCTTCAAGCCGGACGTTATCGCCAAGTCAGCCGGTCCCATCAACACCTCCCAAACTATGAACAGGACATGCCATCCTAACAGGAGAGCGGCTAGCATACGCCAACCCTCAAGGCACGACGCTACGTCCGGGAGGTCTGAGAGCATCGGCGCTGGCCAAAGGCGTCCCAACCAAGTCCACCACACGCATCTGCGACCCCGTCATACCCCGTCTTGCCCGTCCATGACAAAAATTACCGTCCCGCCCTGCAGTCGTTCGAAGCCGCGGGGGGGTGCCACACCCGAGACGCGCGGTCCGCGAACGAATCAGCCACCTCGTATTCGACCCAAGACAGAAAAAAAGCAGCTCATGGTTTCTCTCTGCCCGAGACGAGAGACTGCTGCCGACAAGCAAAAAGCCAGGGCGGCAGAGGGTGAAAAGTCAAACCTCCGCTGCGTGTCAGAGAGCTCCGCTGGCTCTTTGTCCGACTGTTGCAGCTTGGAGCACGATGCGGATCTGGACGAGACGTAGGGACCCAATACTCCAAACTTTCCTCCCGGCAGAGCGGGGCTCATGACGAAACCCAGTATATCCTCTGAGCAGTCTGAACTTTCGTTTTCCCAGATGTGTTCAGCGCGACTTGGTGGTGCCCGGGTGATCGCAACGACAGAAGCTAGCTGCACCATGGGCCGTCGAAGGAGTCGGCGGTTACTGTCTTGATGCATGCATAGGCACCAGCTCCGTCTTGCACGCAGACGCCAGATGCGCAAGCAATCCATATAAGCATTCATCGTGGACTTCGTCAGTGTGTATGTACAGGTCGTCGGTACCTATGTAACATGCTCCTCTCCTCCCCCGCCGCCACCCCCGACGTGTGTCGACTCTCTAGGAGTGAATTAATAAAAAGAAAATACCGAGAGGGTATCGCTTGATGATGACCACCTCAGCCAGGGAGAAACCCCGCCCATGGTCGAGCGCTTTGTCCAATGCAGCCGCCGTTTTCCATTCTCAATGTCGCATCTCAGCCACGCCTGCACGCCTGCCATTCACGCCTCGCTGCCACCCTTCGCATGCCCCGCGTTCACAATAGGCTTCACCATCGGCAGCCTGTTCCGTCTGCATTGTCGGCAGACCAACAGCCTCCCGACGGAGCGCCGCCTCGTCCTCACCCGCGCTTCGTGCTGGTCCTGCTGCTGCTCCTCTTCTTCGCGGGCCGCGGTGCCCAGGGCTTTCCTTTTCGCGCCATGTCTTTCCTACAAGCGCTGTCGGTCGGCCTTCTGTTCGTCGCCCGTGACGGAGGTGATAAAGTCGGAGATCGCCTCAAAGTACCCTTCCTCGAGTACGCTCGAGTTGTGGTCGCCACCGGGCAGCGGCTTCCAGATCTTGATGGGAGCTGTGGCGAGGTCGTAGAGCTGGCGCATGTGGTTTGGCCTATGATGTTGCCGGTGTCAGCGGTCGCGAGTCCTCGAGTGATCAAGTTTTCAAAGACAGATTGAAGTTCTTCGTGTCAGACAATAAGTGGTGAAAAAGGTTATTCAGCGCTCCCCCGAGAGGAAACTCATCTTTTGTGGGTGATAATTTGGCATCATGCAAGAAGAAAACAAAAGAAAGGGGGCCGATGCAAAACTCACGGAACAATCTCATCCTGCAGGCCGGACAGGAAAAGGATCGGCACGGACACGTTATGGATGACCGAGTCGGTCGGCCAGACCTGGTGGCAGAGGTAGGTCAGGTAGCGGGCCGGTGGGATGACGGAGGGGATAAGCTTCCGCATCGAGAGGAACGTGTTTTCGAGGACGAGGCCCGCAATATCGCCGTGCTTCTGGTGCTTCGAGACGAGCTTGACGGCGACGGCGCCGCCCAGGCTCTGGCCGTAGACGACCAGCTTATGGTTGCTCGTCTCGGCGCGGGCGCGGAGGTACTCGATGGCGGTCTGGGCGTCGGTGTAGAGTCCCGATTCGTCAGGCTCGCCGGTCGACAGACCGTAGCCGCGGTATTCGAGCATGAAGACGTTGCAGCCGATGAAGTTGATCAGCATGCGGGCGATGGGCAGGCGGTGGCCGATGTTGCCGGCGTTGCCGTGAAACATGAGCACCGTGATGTCGGAGTTGCGGTTGCCACGGGGGCCGCGAATGTAGAAGGCGGACAGCTTCTCGCCATCGTTGGTAGGGATCACCAGCTCTTCGAAATCCTTAATGCCGAACTGGGATGGCCGGGGTACTTCGGTGCGGGCATTCGGGGGCATGTGTGAAGGGTAGATGAGGGCCCTGGAGACGCGTTAGAGGGTGTTGCCCAAAAGGGGGGTCGGGGTATAAGAGTCGGGACTGGGCGACGTACTTCTGTTTGAAGTAGAGCAGCGAGGTCAGAACCGCAGCAACGCCCTGTACAACACCCGTGTCAGCTTGTGTTACCCTTCAAGGCGGCCTTGGGCCGGTTCCGGCTACGCGCCTTCATGGTCAGGAATCGTGGGGTCTTGACATGGGGAGGACAATCCTGGCATCGGACGGAGGGGGAGGAGAAGGAGAAGGAGAAGAGGAGGAGAAGGAGGAGGAGAAGGGGGAGAAGAGGGAGAAGGGGAGACAGCATGTAGTTCGTACCGTGGAGGCGAGGGCCGGAAGGCGCAGATAGGCCCCAGCAGTGCTCAACATGGATGCGGTCTGCTCGAGAAAGGTTGGCGAGTTGGAGGAGGGGGCGTTCGAGGAGGCCATGGCTTCGGGTCGAGCTTTAGCTTTGGACTTGGCTGGTGGTAATTGGACTGAGAGACGACGTGTCCGAGAAGCCGACCGTCACTTCATTGTCGAGAGGCGCTTTGTGGAGTGCAGGCAAGGGATGCAAGTGTGAAGGCTCTAGTCGGCCACTCGATGACTTTGTGGTCGTGATGTCTTGTCGGCGCGTTTCGCTCGTAAAGGGTCGTTGTTCGTGCCGAGATGGGTTGGGCGGTCAGCAGGTGCGTGTGTGTGTGTGTGTGTGACCCGAAGAGGATGGAGAACAGAGATCAGAGGACAGGATGGGGGTTCCCAGAAGCCCAGAAGCCCAGAAGACAAGACGAACGAGGCTCATCCCAACAGTTCCTGGTCTGTGCTCACCCCCGGCCACCCAGGGGTCGATCGTCTCAGAATGGGCGAGTCGGTGGGGGAAGGGGAAGGGGAAGGGGAAGGTGACATGGTTTGGGCGGCATATCGGCCATGCAATCAACACATGCTTGGTACCTGGTACCCCAACGACCCTTGCTGCATGATCCAAGGCCCCTTTGCAGTGTTGGGCTGATGATGCCTACGGTAGGTATCTACATAGTAGGTAGTAGGGCCAACTCTCAATCGTCATATATCCGCTCCAACAAGCCAGGTCCATCCACGCGTCCCTTCGTCACGTCGTCTACCCAGCCTTGGATGCGCTTGGCGAGAAAGTCGTTGTCACACTTGCGCACTGCCATGTCCGGATCACGCTTCTGCGCGCTGGATTCGAACACCTCCATCCATCCGGGTTCTAGGCTTGCCATTTCTTCCAGGAACGTCTTCCTGAGACGTGTCAGTTCATACTCTTTCACATGGTCCCAGTACAACCCATCGATTTCTCCGTTGGGTTCGACGTCATAATTCGCCCTATCTGGCATGGAGTTCCGTGGTTGATCGTTAAGGAAAGTCGGGAAATAGCATGATGCCCACAGGGGAAGTGCTGAGACACACTCCCAGTCCACAACGCCAGTCAAATTTCCGTCCCTGTCCACGAGTATGTTATGCAAGGAGAGGTCGTCGTGGAACAGCATGGTCGCTTCAGGCTCGGGGTCCTGTGCGGGCGGAAACACAACGTCCACGAGAGGCTGAAGCTTCTTGATGATGTCCAGAGTCTGCTGGGCGTCATGCAGATCATCCTCATCGTCGCTCCCCATCTCGCTCTGCGCAGAATATTTCGCAATCTTGCCGTGGCTTTCTCGGCTGCTCAGCATCAGGCGCACTTGCGTCCAGTCGCGGGTCGTCTTGAACGGGCCGCGGGGTACGTCCTCCCAGCCCGTCGCCCAAACCTCGCCCGGCAGCTTGCTCATTAGGATCCACTCAAAACTAATGCGACTGTGCCGCGATGCATCGTGCAACATAACCTTTGGAACAGGCAGCTCAGTGTTCCGAGACATCCACTCCAATGTGGCGACTTCACTCGGTGTCTTGAATCGTGGGTCGACAGGCAAAGACACCCTCAGGATGAGGTCATCCTGGCCCGCGGCCTGGACGAGGTAGAGCTTGTTGAAGGCGCCTTGCGCCACGAAGATGATCTGACGCGCATCCTTTCGATCCTAGCAGTGACTCGACGGTGGCGCAAATGGCTTCTGGATCCGGCTCACGGGTCCAGCGTGGCTCGCTCGAGAAGGTATTTACAACCCACTCAAGCCCTTCGAAACATGCACGATCGAGAGCCATGGCACGGCTATGAGCCCTGGGTGCTGAGTTGGCGAGGCGTCAGCCATGTCGAGGGGGCTTTGTGGTGCAGAATGATGGCAGCTGGCCAGTTGGTTCATGTGTTGTCAATTTCCGAATGAAACATCAAGTCAACACGTGATATTACCCCTCCCCAGCCACCAACAACAGCTCAGGAATCAGCTCTTCTCGGCCTTCCAATTCTTCATCACAATCCTACACGACGCATCTCTTGGATGATGGGCAAAGTCATATGACGCAGCAGGAAAGCGTCTTGCGCACCTTTATTGCATGATGTTATATGGATAAGTACGGAACTAAAGTATCTACTAAACAAGGACAAGCGTCCAGTGGTTCGCCAGAAGGAAAAAACAAACACGGTAAATCACCAAAGCGACTGGCTCACGCCGTCGTCATGAAGCCTCGTCATGAAGCCTCGTCATGAAGCCTCGTCATGAAGCCTCGTCATTCAACCGACTTGTAGGCTCAGAGGCACTGGGAGAACCACTGGTTTTGCACCTTGCAGGTGCCCTGCGCGCACGTGGTGGCGCCAGTCCAGCCGGAACCGCCGCACTGGCCCCAGAGAGCGACGGTGCCGGAACCTACCGTCGACGGCGTCGTGGCGGTGGGCTTGGGCGCAGCAGCCGTGGTGGTGGTGGGCTTGGGCGCCGGAGCAGGCGTCGTGGTGCCGGCGTTGATCTTTCCGACGCCGGCGTTGGCCTTGACGCTCGCCTCGACGCCGGAGGCCGGCTTGGCCGGAGCAATGTTGGCGCCGGCGTCCTTGCGCAGCTGGGTCAGGGCGTCGGTCTCCTCGATGGCCGGGAGGGTGCCGGAGGTGCTGTCGCGCTGGTTGGGCTGGCAGGCGCGGCCGATGGCGGAGACGCAGGCGGTGCCCCTTGTCCCTGGATGTAATGCTGTTGGCGCGGGGCGTGGACTGCGGGTCACCGGGCTGCTTGGACCCTCTTGAAGAACGTGCCCTCGAGGAGGTTCCAGGGTGGCGG